TCGCTCAGTACGACTCAAGATCAGATAGCCAAAAAGTGAGCAACAGGGATCTCTGAGAGCGAACCAACCAGGAACCGATTGTGCAGGAAGAAATGGAGATGGATTGGCCATACTCTGAGAAAACAAACCATCAAGTGAGTGACATCACATGCCAGTCTCTCTCTCTCGAGTGGAACCCGAATGGGAAGCGGCGAGTTGGTCATCAGTGCGAGGGTGACATGGAGGAGGTGATGCGAAGAGGAGATGAAAGCATGTTGGCAGGTGTGGAGCTCGGTGAAAACGTTGGTGGAGAACCGAACGCAATGGAGACGTGCGTCTGAAGCCCTATGTCCCTCTAGGAATTACAGGAAACAAATAATATTAATAATAATAACTTGTGCTTTAAATAATCATTTGGGTACTTCACATGCTACAGAAATATATGCTTAATATCTACTGCAAATTTATGGTTTTTTAAGTCAAGAGAAACTTAGCTATTTCTTATGAGAGACGTTCACAAGAGTATGATTTAGGTATTAACAAACAGAATGAGTTCATCATTTGATTTACTTAAGTGAATCTACATAAGTAAGTAATATTCAATATTATCCTTTTTAGTATGAATGACATTTGAATTAATTCATTGGAAAAATAAAACTATTATAACAGTATTTCGTGTTTATAACGCCTAATACTTGAGAAAGTTGACTAAAGAACAAACAAATTGGTTTGGATCCTCTAAGACACCGAGAATTCAGCAACCTCTAAGTTTGTGAATATTTTAAATGGTCACAAAAGAAATCTTTGAATTGTGGATCTGTCTACCAAGAAGAAATGTCCTTCATCTTAACGGATATTGTCGATTCCGTCCCAATAAAATGCACTTCAGTGTAGGAATAATAAGGTTTTTGATGAATGGAACTTATTCTTAATATATTGTAACGAAATAAATATTAAGAAAATCTCTCCTGAACGATCTAATTACATTACCGATACTTGCTTAGATGTCTTAACTAGCTGTCATTGTTTTTCTTCTTTCTTCTAGGCTATGTATCATTCCCCTAAGGTTTGAGTATCTTCGGTAGACTCAATCCCTACTTTCAAGTATTGGTTTTGTAGGGATTTTTTTGTTTGGATGGAGGATTTCGTCAGGAGCTGACATAAGTTATAGAACCATTGGAAAACCTACAGGGAGTACTGGGCAGCTGTTTCGTCAGCCTAGTTTGACACTCTCCACAGTACACACCCACCACCACGGGTCGAAATTAGGATGTTCTGGTTACAAGGCGAGTTCGTAGACCATTAAGCCACTGGAACCCGATCTAATGGACAGTCCATGAATTCTAACTTCTGCCAATTCATGACATAGCGCGACCACTTCGCAGTGTCTTCTTTGATGAGTTACTGCCTCACTTTTGACCTGCTGTACCCTACTGGTCACGGTTTCCCACTAGATCCCAGGTCACAGCCTGAATCGCACCAGTCGCTAGTGATCATCAGATTAGTTTTCAAGTATTGGGTTTGTAGGGCTTTTGTTTGATTGGATGGAGGATTTCATCATCGTCATCTCATCATTCCAGTGGCTTAATGATCTATAAGCTCGCCTTGTAACCAGAAGGTCCTGGGTTGGAACCCTGGCGGTGGGTGTGTACTTCAGAAAAGTCCCCAACTAGGCTGACAAAACCGCTGTCCGGTACTCCCAGGTTTTCCAGTGGCTCTCTAAGTTTTGTCGGCTCATGATGAAATCCCCCATCCAATCCCTACTACTAGTCTTACTTCTTTATTACTTCTCTGTGTGATGGCAATGATAATGTGCTGCTTTACGACTGCAATCTTCTTTGAACAAGTCAAAGTCATTCCGACCTTGAAGTATTTGCAGGAATTGTTCACCACATGACTATTGCTGAGAGGGCTTTGATTCCACTTTGTTGGGAATATTCTTCTTGAGTCTCAGATATCCTTATGGTTGGTTTGTTTAGATGATTTTTTTGTAACTGAGAAACTACTGGATCTGCACACATGTCTAGTGACATCGTTGAGGTAATTTTGAGTGCAGATATATTATGACTGTTAGATAGCAACGCAGATCTTATTGCAAATAACTGTTGTTTTGCAAGGATTTGATTGGTTACAGGATTTGATTATGAGCTGACACTGGTCAGGAAACCCATAGAAAACCTGAGAGTACTTGACAACTGTTTCACCCTAGCCTGGGACTCTTTATCAGTACGCACCCACCAGTGTTAGGACCCAGCACCTTCCGGTGGGTACGAACCGATGAAGAGTCCCAAACTAGGAGGAAACAACTGTCCAGTACTCCTGGTTTTCCAAAGGTTCCCTAACCTATCTCAGCTCATGACGAAATCCTGTAATCACCTGTCTTTTTACTGTCACTGCTGCATGCTGTGGACGTGAATAACTTAAAGAAGTTTCAATCAGCTATACAATAGAACGGGAAGATCGGTTTCATGCGTTCAGGTTACAATAAATTCGTTTTAGTCGTTATGTATACATAATGTATACCATTAGACTAACAAATACGAAACGGTGCTACTTTAAGCTGATTCTGTGTTTACAGGTCATTGTAAGGTCCGTTATTAAACAATAACAATTACTGCTAGAAAAAAGTACTGATACAAACATCAAGCGTTAAAAGTTAGTGCACATTTACACTATGAATTAAGAACAGTTCTTATATATTTTCATTTCTTTTGTTAAATTAAACATTCTTTTAAATTAACCTTAAGGTGAACGATATCTTCAAAAGTTTCAAATGAGAAAAATAATGAATTCAGCACCTAGGAGAGTCAGTATGGCAACAGCTCCCAAAAAAACTATTACTCATAAAACTGCACTTCCTCTGTGACAATATCAGCGAAATAGTAACATAGCGCCTGAAGAATGCAGTTAAAAGAGCTTATAATGCAGCAGAGGTACGTTGTCTCTTCACTACCACCCTTATTCTACCTTCGAGAAATAAGGATAAACTATCCAAATTTGCCGTCTGTATGTACCAGTCTACCAGTTTGACTGCAGCTGCAGAGCCAGCTACATTGGGCGTACAATTAGGCAGTTTCATCATCGTACTTCCGAACATTATACAGCATGGTTAAGCAAGAGACAAACAATATCTATTCGTAGCTCTATTTTAGCACACCTTGTAGATAGTGAGCATAAGGTTGATGTTAATACAGCATTTGAAATTATTTATCATACTCCTACTAATCTTAATTTTGCTTTGCGATTTCGTTTTCTACATACAGCTGAAGCAACAGGCATCCACCTAACGAAGCGAAACCTGTGTGTTCAGAAGAAATTTGTACAGCCATTTTCACATGAGTGTATAAACCGGACTAATTCGCCCCTAAACCTTTGAACTTAAAATTGACCAAATTATTTTATTTATTTTCTTTTGACTAATTACATGTTATCACTGTTGGATTCATTTCTACCCTTTAATTGTTTGAATTATCTATCTCGGTTATTATCAAGCCTCGTGACATGTTGATATTGATTAATTGTTGTTAACAAAAATATCGCCACATGATCGGTAAACTGTTGTGTATTGTAATAAAAATGCTATATATATTAGATTAGAGCCAGAGATGAGGATCTGATTGAAAAGTAAACATTTCTTCTTCGTTCAATTATTTTGCTTCATAAAAGTGCCTCAAAATATTGACATTCTGTTCTCACAATCCTTCATTAATGAGTATATATATGTAAAATAATTATTCAGAGACATAACGGAATGGCTATCTCGCTGCAATTCAGCGTCAGTTTAATTTTTTTCTGAGAATGACTCCCATTAAATTTGTTTTAATTACCACTAACTGCGGGAAATCTAGTTGATGAATACAAGATGCAAATTAAAGAATTAATACTTGATGATGCCGGTAGACTTTAGATTGGCATTGTAAACACGTCTGTAAAGTTGATGAGTTCACAAGCTTCATGATTTGCTAGATAAGCTCTGACATTCACATATTATTATTATTTTTTCCTTCACGTTCCCAGTGGAACATAGGGCTTCAAGCTAGAGGCTTGAAGTTTCTGTAACAGTGGTGTTTATTTTTACAGGATGGGGTTGCTAGGCTCATGCCCAACCTTTCCTCTTTACCACCTTAATTTCTGGCTTGGCGAGGTAAAGGAGTGCGTCCAGTGGCCGAAGATTGAACCCTGGACTATGTGCATGGTTGGCAAGCGTCCTAACCGCTGTGCCACCGACGCACTCGACATTCACGTAAGACTGTACGAATTTTCTAGTTTAACAGATAAACACCAGTGAAGATACTTGATATAAGCGTATACGACAAACTACAGTACAAAGCACTTATTCAGACATCAATTTAAAGAAAACATGCGCTTTAGTCCAAATGACCAGATCATATTCACCAACATCGTTAAACTATCCTACCTAACTTTCATAAACAGGCAGTCATTACAAATTTTTTTTTGACTGTAAGTTTGACTAAGGCGATTTATGTCTTGTATAGAATTTAAATCAGTTCACTTTATGCTAAGAATTACGCTGAAGATGTTGTCCAGAAGGACGACGAAAGCTCCGCAACTAAACCAATCAGCTCAGAGAACACTACTAATTGCAAATAGAATCGTATCCCTAAGGAGAATACCCATAAGAACTGTTATATAACAAGTACAAAGAAAAACGAGACAATATTAAAATCAATTCTAGTTTTATTTTCTTTGCACCTTCAGAAGAAGAAGAAAAGGACGCAATTAAAAACCTAGATTAGAATTTAAAAAAAGTGCATATTTCTCATATAAAATATACCAAAGGTGAAACATCACAGAAGATAGACTGGAAGAACTTAAAGTAACAATATGCGAGTTGATGAATCCTTCCATCAGTATACATAATTAGATATTCAAAATTGTAAAATATCGACAATGATGAGTAAATGTACAAAACAGTTTCTTTTCTTAAAATAAAATAAGAATCTAAAATAGACATGGTAAAAATTTAGCATCGACCAATTAGTCATTCATACTTTCATCTGTTAAATATTTGGCTGTACACGATTTCTGCACTGATCACTCCTCCATTCACCTATATTTGTATACCAATGACCATCTTTGAGATTGTCAATTTCATGCGCCAACATACATAGACGACAATCAGTGAATGTGTTAAAATCAAGTGTTCCATGCTTTAACCATTGAAAGTATTCATTATACGCTGTGGTATTTTTATCAAGATAGTGTAGATAATCGGCTAATTGTTTAACTGAACTGAAATCATCCACGTGAATAAATGAATTCGATGGAGCTGATCGCATATATTCCGCTTTCGAGGCACCCATTACAATCGGGACAACTGCATTTCTAAAATATGATTAAAACATAAGCATTTTAATGATGTTTAATGACACATCTGTTGTATAAGTAAAAAGTTCTGTAGTAAAATTCTTCTTGGTACTGTCGTACTGCGTCCGTGGCGCAGAGGTCAGGACGCTCGACGACCATGCTGGCTGGTTGGTTTCAACACAGAACTCTGCACCGATGTGCAGCAGTTCAAATCACCACACTTCACTCAGCAAAGTAGAGACAGTAAAATAGAGATATGAGGCAAAAAGAATAGTAATGTTGAAGAATAATATAATTTTATTGGAAATTATAAGTCACAAGGAGTGGATGCATCTGCACCAGGCCAGCCATTGAGAACGATTTTGAGCCATATCACCGATTGTCTCCAACCAGTGGTTTTTACTGTCCCGAGGACCCCAACCAGGAAGTCTACATCTTCCTAGGTGGCTTAAACTAACTGTAGTGGATTTCACCGACTGGTGAGGCCCTATTTTGGTTTGACCACCACTGGCTCTTTTCCAACCTGACCCTATGTCAGCTAACATTGCCCGTCGACGAAGGCGATGGCTAGGTATGCGTCATACATGTCCTAACCATCTCAGTCAATGTCACTTCACAACCTCATCTAGTGATTTCCCCTCTTTACGTAGCGCTCGACCGGTGCCTTACCCCAATATTGATTACCCTATTGTACCATTTTACACAGGAGATAGAACGCAGGCACCCATGATCAAAGACCATGCACATGGTCTGGGGTTTGATCCCCAGCCGACTCACACCTGATATCAGTGGTCTGCCTGATAAACTTGGGCTACCGATATCACACGCTGAAAATCCCATACTTGTACCAAAATACTGTGTGAAATCAAACTGTAATCAAAATAAAAGAAAAAATAAATTTCAGAATGTAATAAAATGAAAGGTGGATGGTGTTATTTACACTTATGATGAGTTAAAAGAGAAGTGTCTTGAATATTAGACATGTCACTGAATTTGTTGGGAGTTTCACTTTTCTATACACTTTTAATGTGTTGAAACACACTTATCATTTTACTGATAATGATCGTCCTTAAAGCCTTGAAGAAATCAAATCAAATATCGGAAGAGTAAATTATCTGAGGCTTCATTCAAGGAAAGAACAAAAGAAACCGTTTTCAAAACCCCAATAGCTGTCAGTATAGTTTAGAGAAAGAGACAGAGAAAAGTTCCTTGTTATTTCTGGTGTTTTGTCATGTTCTGACATTTCTAAACACATCTATTTTATATGATTTGGTTTGTAAGGAATAGTTATGTTTTATGAGTTGATCACGGACTGATATCAGTTAGAGAACCATTGAAAACCAGGGAGTACTGGACAGCTGTTTGTTTCATCCTAGTTTGGGAATCGTCGGCAGTACGCACCCACTGGGATTCGAACTCAAGACCTTCCGGTTACAAGGCAAGCTCGGATACCATTCAGCCACTGGGACCCGATTCAATGGCTCATGAATTCTAACTTCTACTAATTCGTGATTTTAGCGCGACCCTAACTATTGTCGTTGGTGGGACATCCATCCACACACGTGACATCTAATTGGATCTCACTGGTCACGACTTCTCACTAGAACTCCAGGAAGCTCCAACCTGTAGCAAGTCACTAGTGAGCATCAAACATAACTAATCCTTACAAACCAAACTATAGAAAATTAAGCTACAGGTTGGAGCTTCCTGGAGTTCTAGTGAGAAGTCGTGACCAGTGAGGTCCAATCAGATGTCACGTGTGTGGATGGATGTCCCACCAACGACAATGGTTGGGGTGGCGCTAAATCACGAACTGGTAGAAGTTAGAATTCATGGGTTGACCATTGAATCGGATCCCAGTGGCTGAATGGTATCCGAGCTTGCCTTGTACCCGGAAGGTCCTGGGTTCGAATCCCAGTGGGTGCGTACTGCCGATGATTCCCAAACTAGAATGAAACAAACAGCTGTCCAGTACTCCCTGGTTTTCAATGGTTCTCTAACTGATATCAGTCCGTGATCAACTCGTAAAACATCTATTTTATTTAATTCAATTTTAGATTTTACCGTCGATTGATTGGACCGAAGTGCTTGGTCTCAGGTTGACATGCCCAGACATCGTCGAAGCATCCGCACAAGAAACCGACATGTCAACCTGAGACGGAGCACTTCGGTCCAGTCAATCGACGGTAAAATCTAAAATTGAATTAAATAAAATAGATGTTTTACGAGTTGATCACGGACTGATATCAGTTAGAGAACCATTGAAAACCAGGGAGTACTGGACAGCTGTTTGTTTCATTCTAGTTTGGGAATCATCGGCAGTACGCACCCACTGGGATTCGAACCCAGGACCTTCCGGGTACAAGGCAAGCTCGGATACCATTCAGCCACTGGGATCCGATTCAATGGTCAACCCATGAATTCTAACTTCTACCAGTTCGTGATTTAGCGCCACCCCAACCATTGTCGTTGGTGGGACATCCATCCACACACGTGACATCTGATTGGACCTCACTGGTCACGACTTCTCACTAGAACTCCAGGAAGCTCCAACCTGTAGCTTAATTTTCTATAGTTTGGTTTGTAAGGATTAGTTATGTTTGATGCTCACTAGTGACTTGCTACAGGTTGGAGCTTCCTGGAGTTCTAGTGAGAAGTCGTGACCAGTGAGATCCAATTAGATGTCACGTGTGTGGATGGATGTCCCACCAACGACAATAGTTAGGGTCGCGCTAAAATCACGAATTAGTAGAAGTTAGAATTCATGAGCCATTGAATCGGGTCCCAGTGGCTGAATGGTATCCGAGCTTGCCTTGTAACCGGAAGGTCTTGAGTTCGAATCCCAGTGGGTGCGTACTGCCGACGATTCCCAAACTAGGATGAAACAAACAGCTGTCCAGTACTCCCTGGTTTTCAATGGTTCTCTAACTGATATCAGTCCGTGATCAACTCGTAAAACATCTATTTTATTTAATTCAATTTTAGATTTTACCGTCGATTGATTGGACCGAAGTGCTTGGTCTCAGGTTGACATGCCCAGACATCGTCGAAGCATCCGCACAAGAAACCGACATGTCAACCTGAGACGGAGCACTTCGGTCCAGTCAATCGACGGGAAAATCTAAAACTGAATTAAATAATTAAAATGACCCGCTGTACCAGAGGTGGCTCTCGCAGCCCAAGTGGTCTTGTGGATAAGGATTTGGCGTTTGAGACTATGGGCACTCGGTTCCAGCCTCGATTGGAACATGATCACTCACTGAGGAATGCAGATACAGCCAGTGAAGAGTCCCAAATAGGACGAAATGCGCATCCTGGACTCCACTGCTAGTCATCATCCACAATCTATTTTATTATAATTTGTAGTAGGTTTTTTCTTCTCATTGAAGTAGTTACTAGTTTCGTACTTCGGAGCTTGATTTTGTACTACAAGCTAACCTTCTTCACATAGTTTTCATATCAGATGGTTCCGAAAACTCTTAATTTCTAAATTCAAAATTTCGGACAGCTTTATTTCAGTTTGATTTCTCCAGTTTGACGTTTTATCTGGAAAGTAGTGTTGCATTGTGGTCTTCATATAGCGTTCATATGTAAAACTGTTCATTGTGCAAATTTTAAGTGTATTTTTTTTAAAACAATTAGAAAGACGTATATACACTGTTCAATGATATACTGCCTGTTATTTCACCCATAAACCGAATAGTTAAATTCTAAGTTATACACTGAATGAAAACCTGACTTTTTCTTCGAGGTAATTTTATACGGCGTCAGCGAAACCAAAGTAATTTTAGTCATATGAGTCATAATATGCAATTCATCACAACAGAAAACACAAAAATCCTTCCAAAATATGTGATCACTTAATAAAGATTGAATTTTTTTTCACAATTACAAATATTCAAGAAATAATTTGTAACGATTTGGTTCGCTTCGTGTTCGATCATGGATTGATATTAGTTAGAGTACCATTTTAAACTATCAGAGAGTACTGAACAGTTGTTTAGTCATAGTTCCAGACTCACAGGCTGTGTGCAGCTGCTGGGATTCGAATCCAGGACTGCCAATGACATTGGTTGGCGGTTTTACTAAAATCATGAATTATTAGAGGTTGGGATTCATAGGCCACCGAATCAGATCCCAGTGACTGAATGGTCTACGAGTTCACCTCGTAACTGGAAGGTCCTCGGTTCGAAACCTTGCGGTGGGTGCGTTCTGATGAAGAGTCCTGAACTATATTGACGAAACAGTCGTCCGGTACTCTCAGGTTTTTCAGTGGTTCTTTAAGCGATGTCATCGAATGATGAAATCCCCAAACCAATCGAAAAAAATAAGTGTCAAAGGTTGAACAATTTTTATTTGTTCCTGTGCTAATGTCTGTTTGTAAAACAGGCTAGTCTGAAAATAGTGAAATTCCCAGAAGCCTCACTGTTGAACTCACAGAACCAGTAATCGGGTTTCGAATTCATCATCCAAGGTTTCCTACAGTTTTTTTTCCAGCTGGTGTTGACTTACGGCAATAAGGAAGTGGTTTCATTCATTTTGAATAAACCTGAACCCATCGCACTGCACAAAACTGCTAGTACCTTTATTCTCCAAATGCATCCAGTTGCTATGATTGCATTATGCATCAAGTGAGTGCAATCATTTTAAGAGACAATTAATAATAGTTTAAAGGTTTACTAAGTTCACTAGTACAAAGTTACGAGATATAATAATAATAATGTACTTTATTCCAAAAACAGTACTTATAATACAGAATGGAGTTCCCAGCATTTGTCACAATATTGCATCTGATTTACTCAAAATATAATTAAAATTATAAATTAAAACTAAATTAACCGGAGGTATTTGTCCACATTTACGATATAAAGTCAAAATTATTCGAAGCACGAATTGAGATAATTAAATATAATAATAATAACAGTGAGTTTGTTTCAAACAGTATTGTCGATTCAGTTTGGAAACTTTAGCATGTTATAGATTATTGGATCTAATGTTCTGTTGATATAGTATAGTGAGGGGAAACACAAAATTAACGGTTATAACACAGCTTAAATTATGTCCACACTTATGAAAAAAAATAAACAAAAACAAAAAATTGAGAGGATTATAAATATAAGAAATACAATAACAATAAAGTTTGATGCTGTAAGGGTGGAGGAAGTGGTTTATTTAGTGGTGCAAAGAAGGTTAGTTAGTTCGTGCCTGACACTATTTTCATCACACAAAGTACGTGCTAAATATGGTATAGTGGAATTTTTATACTTAGACGTACGTGCATAAATTCTTCTGAAAAGACTTCTTGTTTTACCTGAGGAGACACAAGGTTGGAGCTGCGGGTAGAGTGGGTGCTCAGAGTCTGACAAAATTCCTTTAGCGAATTTGTTGCATGACATCAAGTGCCTATCAGTGACAATGTCAACGATATGGCCCAATGGGATACCACTCGTTCTACTGACAGTCTTTAGAGTTCTACGAAGTATGACATAGTCTTTTTTAAGCAATCCAGGAAAGAATAAGGGTGAACAGTAAAGAAGAATAGGTAAGATCTACGAGGTGACAGACTGTAAGATGAGGGGATGAGTTATGCCTGAGTGCCTTAACTTCTTAATGTAAAAAGTCAGACGAAATATTCTTTTAGAAATCGCTAAGACATGGGAGGACCAGGATAGGTCAGAAGAAAGAATTAATCCAAGATACTTAACTTCAGACTGGGTTTCTATATCAGTATCAGATATGAAAGATTGTCATACATTCTGAAAGATTCACTCTTCTCTTTACAAAAACAATTGAGTGGTGAACATAAATTTCAAGTTATTTTTTATATTTCAAAGTACTGCTTACTTTAAGCCATTCAAAAATAATTTCTCAGTAATATAATCTTGGCATATACTATTTTCAAAGCTTAAATAGAATTTGTAGTCATTCTTGAGCAGTTTGAAACATTCTTCATTCGTTCTTTCACAGACCAGTGCGCCACATGCACCATAAATATCAACCTTTTTGTGATAATGCAATAAGAGATTTTACGTATATCTGATTAGTTAGCATTGGAAAATGCGTAAAAAATAATTAAAAACAACATTGCATAGCTTTTTAATATCAGTGCTACGGAAAAGTCTAAGTTGGATAAATTTATTAGAACAGACATGGGATTAGTGATATGATGTCTGAGCGGTTTTAACATCAAGTGGCGGAAATATGAGAATCTGAATAGTGTTTTCAGATATATCATTTATTGATTTGTGTAACATGAAGAACTGGTCAACCATATTTCGTATTCGGGTACAGAACTATGATGATAAATATGTAACAGTAAGCGATGAATGGCATTTACACAGTACTGGATAGATGTTTCATTCCAGTTTGACAGTGATCACCAGTAAGCACCCACGACACCACTGGTGGGGGATCGGACCCAGGAGCTTTAGGTTAACACGCCAGCCAGTTGGCCATTCAGCCACTGGGACAGGATTGAATGACCGGTGGATGAATTCGCGATACATGGCTCCACAGCAAACCAGGTGCATATATTTGTTCCCACACCGAACTTGATGAACCCTATTACTGGTTACGAATTCTCACCGAAGACCAAGACAACTTCATTCTGTAGTCAGCCATTAGTGAGTATTAGATTAATTTTCAAGTGTTACATTGCAGGGATTCGAGTGATTTCAAGTTACGTCATGAAATGATCTCATTTAGGGGACCCTTGGGACTATATTCCTTTTCAGTAGCCCGCCTAGAAATCTGAAGGTCGTGGGTTTGATCTCCCATGTTGTCATGGGTGTGTACCAATAAAAAATCCAAAACTAGAATGAAACACCTGTCTGGTACTTTCTGTTTTTCAGTGATTCTGTGACTAAAATCAATTCCTGATCTAAGCTGAGGAATTACTAAATCTAATTTATATTCACTCCTACATAGTACATGTTTTTAACTGGTCATGTTAACGAATTAATCAATGTAATCAACAGCCAAAATAAAAGTGATCAAAAAAAACTTTTATACCTGGATATATTTTTTCAGTGTTTCAGCATATCGAAGTCGTGGACTGTGTGAAAGGCAATTGCTTACAAACCATGCAACCATTTTAGTTTTTCCTAGTGAATAATCTTTGACTAATTGAGTACTGTTGTTGAAATCCTTCCGCTGAACGTCTTTGTATGATATGTATTTATAATAAGGTGTAACTAAAGTTGAATCCAAGGTGTATGTAGCAGTGAAATTTATCTGAAATGCAGTCAAGTATGAAAAATCAATCAAATGACTATTAGGAAGAGTTAGAATATTTGACTACTCTCTTATGATTTAAAATCTTTAACTAATTAGGCGCTGCAAGCAAATAGGGATAGCGTATATGATTGACTAATAAAGATGCCGTTGTAGGAATATACATTCCTCAATATACTCTGAGGATTAACAGTATGACTGGTTAGCAGAATGTGGACAGGTAAGATGTTTCAGTCATCACTTTTTATTCAGATGACATTCAGAAAATATTGACACCTTGTTTCAATTTCTACAGATAAATAAGCATGCTTCGTTAATCTACTTTTGGTAAAGCTAATTGCGATTTGCAAAATGTCTGAGTATGGAGTAGTATTTTTGTGTTCTTTAAGTGCTATTAAATTTACTTAAATTTTTGCTTACCTAAATACTATCTGAAAATAATAAAAGAAAATTAAGGTTTTCTTTTACACCTGGAAGCATATTTTATTATCATTATTATTCCCTTGGGTTCCGAGAGGAACAAAGGGCTTCAACAACACATCTTCACTTTCTTCTATTTTATGCCATCCTCTTCAGCTGGCTAGCTCCACGACTGAACATAATCTCTCATCTCCCCCACGCCACACGATCTCCTCCATGTCACCCTCGCACTGACGACCCACTGGTCGCTTCCCATTTGGATTCCACTCGAGCAATGGCCAATTCATCTCCATTTTCTCCTACATATTTGCTGAGCGATTAGCTCTTGGTTGGTTAGTTGCATATTATAGTGTTACAAATTCAAAAAGCAACCACATACACACACTGAAATATATTCACCAGACATAATGCTAGAGAGCAGTTTTATTCCTATTAGGAATAATTCTAAGGTTTATAAGAACAAAATTATTTCTACTAGCACTATTGCAAAGTAGTCCGCATAAATGTATTTTCAGAACGGAGCCTACACTCGTTTTAATTAGATCACAGGTTCTTGTTTATTTAATTAAACCACTCCAAAATCAAATTGCGCACAACTTTTTAAATAGTGTCACCTAAGTCGCTCAAGTCTCCAAATGATACGCTGACATAAAAACAGGAGAGTTTTGAGATTCTGCTAAGTTTGAATAAAGCCTAACTTTAGGCTTAACCTGTTAAAACTTTGAGACACAATGAAATAGGCGCCTCGAAATGTGTATGACTATATACTATATTTTTTAAATTTTCATTTGCCTCGCTTTAATTAGACATGAGGTTTTTACCTGTGAAAGTTTCGCATGCAGACACAATGTTCTATTTTTGATTTCGATCTCAGAACCCATGCTGATGGCTTTTCTCTATCTGCTAGCTGATCTATGTTTATTTTGTCCTGTGGTAAATCTAAATGCCTTAGGAAACAAAACAAAATTATTCATGATTATCCAGGAAGAAGTTTTTAACTTGAATTATACACACTGAAATGTGCGTCGATGGTACAGCGGTAGAGTGCTGGCCGACCACGCATGTGGCCCGGGGTTCGATCCCCGGCCAGTGGACGCACTCCTTTACCTCCCTAAGCCAGTAGTAAGACTGGTAAAAAGAGGAGGTTGGGCATGAGGCTAGCCACTCCATCCTGTAAAATAAAAACTGCTGCAGAAACTTCAAGCTTCTAGTTTGAAGCCCTATGTTCCACTGGAAGCGTAAAGGATTAAAAAAATACACACTTAAATAACTTGCTTTTCATTACAATTAGTGATTATGTAGAAATAACTCATTTCCATAAATTCTCACCATTTATAGAGAACTTAGGTGAAAAGATTTCTATATGAAAAAAAGGAAAATAAAAATACTAGTTCACCTTGTCTTTGAATCCCTCAAAATCAGAATTCTCCGGTGATTCGAGATGATAAAGGATCCAGGTTTGATTTTTTGGTTTGGTGAACGTTAAGGATAACTGTCCACCCTCAAAAACAACCAAATCTGCTTTCTGGATATCACTGTTGCCATAGACAATATCACATTCATTAACAGGACAAATGGATAGATTGGGAATTGAAAAACCACTTCTGTCGTAATAATGAATGCGTTTCTTCTTAACTTGACCAGTTTTACGAGCCTTTAGAAGAGAAGAAAACCATTAGAAGTATGTTTTTTTTCATTCAAGATAAAATGCGGACATTTTGCTTGTAAAATCTGCTGTAATAGAACTTTAACTACAAAAAATGTTTCTGGATTAAGCGTTTAATAGAATACTATGGGAAATAATAAAGACGAAAACTTTCTTATTCACTATTATGCAGGATATCTGATTCAGTGCTGGTATACACTCTTTCTGTACCCATAAGACTTTTCCTATTGACTCTCAGTTTTACATTTTTCGATAGATAAACTGGTCAACTGATACAAAAACAACATAAGAGCCACATTTATACATGATGGAGAAGATTTGTAGCTCAGGTGGATGATTTTGATGGGGTTGTGTTCTCTGAGCTGGATAGTTAATTTGCGAAGCTTTCATCACCATACTAGGTGACATCTTCAGCGCATACTTCAATTTGAAGTGAGCTTTTAGATTTCTCCACAAGTTTATTAATCATCTCTTTTGGATGGATATCCACGGAATTTCATCAAAAGACATATACCACCAAACCAACCTATCAAACCAAAATCTCCCAAGGAAAGCTCAAAGAAAACCGCCCTACCATATATAAAGAATAACTCAGAAATCACTGCAAGACTCTTCAAACCTTTAGGAGTTGACGTCGCACTCAAACCAACAAAATCACTTCACTCAGCTCTATGTCAATCAAAAGACTCAACAGCGAAAGAAGATAAAGCCAACATCATCTACAAAATAAATTGTAACAGCTGCAAAAAACACTACATTGGCCAAAGTGTACGTTCCCTTCGTCTTCGTATCCACAAACATAAGCTAGCCGTCAAAAGACATGACATCCAATCCCTCATATCACTACATACAGACAACCACGGAGATCAATTAGACTGAGACAACGTTCAAGTATTAGACAGAAGAAACACTGAAAACGCCAGAGAATTTTTAGAAGCTTGGCATTCGAGTGAATCATCAATCAATAGACACATCGAGATTGACAAAATTTATCAAGCGATAAGAAAGAAACCTCACACACAAGGGGTTAAAGCTGAAGTCAAAGACACAATGAATTACAATACAAATAACCTAGAAGGTGTGAAAACACACAAAAACAACCGATCACATCCAGGGTCACCGGGAGAGATGACTAATAAACTCGTGGAGAAATCTAAGACCTCACTTCAAATTGAAGTATGAGTTGAATATGTCACCTAGTATGGTGATGAAAGCTTCGCAAATTTACTATCCAGCTCAGAGAACACAACCACATCAAAACCGCATTTATGTTTTACAAAATAGAGTGATATTTAGCATTGTGCAATATGGGCGTAAATCTGGTAATGTATTCCTGAATAGATAACGCATTAATAAATCACAATGATGACAGTAATAATAAACAGTGGTAACAGTAACCATGTCAGCAGTAACAAAAGTTCAAGTAGTCAATGTAGGTGACGATAAGAATAATGAAGGCGATATGATAATGTAAACATTTCAGTGATTAAATTAGGTCAAAATCTTATAAAATTAGGAGTTACATAATACTACAGATCGAGCCAGTGAATAGTTAGAGCCTAAATAAAAATGGTAAGTAAGTACAAGGCGAACCATTAGTCCGTCGGTTTCGACTATCGTTTAAATGCATATGAAACGTATAGTCGATAGAAACACAAGATAAAATGAGGTTAAATAGATGAGTGATGTAGTTTATCACTAAAGTAGTAATCAGTTGTGCACTAGATACACCAGTGTGCAGGTGTAGGGTGACGAAATAAATAATATTTGCTATTTTGGTTGATGATAGCAAGCAGTAGAATACAGGATGCTCATTTCATCCTAGATGGGAATCGTCAACTGGATTTGTCCTCATTCTCAATGATGGTGATGTTGGGAGACACTGGGACCCATCGTTTCAACCTCCAAAGTATTTTCCGACAGGCTAACTGGGCTTCAAGAGCTACCCTTTGTGCAATAGGTATCAGGTATTATTTATCCTAAATAACATTAAGTTAATCCTCAGATGTCATCGAATGGCTCTCACTAAGAGACAACACGAGGACTGAGACCAAGCATTTCGGTTCAATATAAGCAGTTAGCAGGAAGTGCAAGTCAGTCTAAAAACAAATGATAAGTGATATTTGTATGGCAAACGTGGTGATATGAATGTAAATACAAAGTGGTGTATAAATATTATAGAATCATACAATGTGGGGTAGGAAAGTTGACAGATTAATTCATGGTTTAATTCAATTTTTACATTTTCTCGTCGATTGACTGCAGTGAAGTGCTCTGTGTCTAGTTGATATGTCGGCTCCTTGTGCAGATGCTTCGACGATGTCTGGACATGTAAGTAGAAGTTAAATGGTAGGTGGGGACTAGCAGTGGAATACAGGATGTGCATTTCGTCGAAGGATCTTCACAAGAAGCTGACATGTCAACCTGAGACCGAGCACTTTGGTCCAATCAATCGACGTGAAAATCTAAAATTGAATTAAATAATTTATATAACCCGTTGAATAAGAGGTTACTCTCATGGCCCAAGTGGTCTAGTGAATAACGCTTTGGCGTTTGAAAATATCGGCACTGGGTTCGCACTTTTGTGGGAACACCACCACTCACTGTGAAATACAAGTAAATCCAGATGATGAGTCCCAGATAGGACGAAATGCGCGTCCTGGAGTTCACTGCCAGTCACCATCCACCAATTAACTTATAATTCATAGTTGTTAAAAGTTTTTGGAGAGTGGTTAGTACAGAGGTTGTATGTGTTAGACACCAGATAGCGAGACTGAGCTTAATAGTTTATCGTAAAATAACTAACAAGTGAAATGAATGATGTATAGCCATATAGTGAGAAAACTGTTTGGAGGAAGAGGATAGGAAATAATAGGGAAAATCAAGTGGAAGCTGAACCACTGAAGAGGGGAAGTTTAAATTTCAGTTTCTCTACGGTGGGAACAATATATCATGGAAAATTCCCATTCTTTCTTCAATTTAATAAAGGGAACCGGTTGCATGAAATTCCCATTGTATTTTGTATATGGAATAATATATGACCATGTTATTTCTGAATACAAAGTTCTGGTTTGACCGATTTTATCACAACAGCTTCAGGTATATGCAGAAAACGTAAGTGGACTGTGCGTGATAATGACTTTGAAAAGTTGCATGTAACCCTGTAAGTTATGTTGGCGTTAATCCGATGCCTATTGTCTACCAAGTGTTATAAAACTGACCTTTTTATGTATTTGATCACACTTTTTCTGAGCCTGACTGAAAAATATTCTCGAATTTGTACACCAACCTTCCTATTAGTACACCCTGATTAACTTCAGTCGTAGGAACAATTCAAATGATATATGCATAAGGAGAAGAGAAGATTAGATAAAAGTCTTTCAGTTACAGGGCGAGCATTTAACTGCCACTGAAGAACAGGAAGAGATGTCCATAGTAGAAAGTCCCCTTTATCCCTACAGTTAGACGTCGTGATAGAATCTCTGTAGTAGTATCTCCCTTGAATTGTAGACGCAAAAATAACTACTTTTGTGCACTGTTGTCAAGGCATGTTGTAATCTATTTTGACTTTTATAAACTTCTCCGGAAGTTCTCTACTCTGTGTTCAGATCAAACTAACCTTAGTCTAAATGATTGGTATTTGATCAAATTTTGTTTGTATTGGATAGGTACAAAACTAAGGAATTGTGTATACTAAGCTTTGGCCGCTAGTTTTCTAAAAAAATGGTTCTTTTTATGGACTCATCCCTTCTTTTCAGGAAAGCTTCAAGAATGTGCAGAGTCACTGTGTTCTCCTTCATAACTTGAATGGCTTGCTGAGGTTGATTAAGTCAAGAAGTAGACATTTATCGTAGAATACAAAGTGTAATTAATTTAACGACAGTATAGTTCCATTTTCGCTGTTTCACTTTTTATGGATTATTTTCTAGTTTCTATAGAAATATGGTCATAAATAGAGGGCCTATTGGAGATTCTATGGCTATTCTATCGACCTGTTCGTACATTTCAACATTTGAATGGGAAATGAACAATCGCTGTTTATGTAGACAGTAGTTCCTCCAGATTAACGAAATGAATATCATTGTACAACTTTCTTTCTGTCATCAGTTTGGAGTGTAGCCTACGAATTCCACTAGAGGGACACCAGTAAATAAGGATGTAACATCAGTGGATGTCATATTTTTTTCCGTAATGTTAAGTTTTTTTATTTTATTAGTAAACTGAAAGGTATTCTTGGCAGTGTACTTCACTATTTGATCATGGAGAGTTCGTCTTTCATATATGTCTGAAGCTGTCATAATTAATCTGAAGAAATCAAGCTTAGGTCGTCCAAAACTTCAGACAGACGCTTTTCTCACCTTGGCCATCATTACCTGACTGTGAAAATCCTATAGTTTACTTTTCCATCTAAGCCATTCACAAGCTATTATAGTTTTAACTATCTTTAACTGTGGCATATATTCTCTCATATATTATATCTGGTATTCAATTTAGTATCATATTTTTATGCCTATTGTCGCCTAAATAATCTTTTGGGCTGTAATTCTATGGATCTTAATAATTCGATATTACTTCAAAAATATCAAAGTTATCAATGACAATTACTGTTTAAATAATGCATATTTCACACCCAATGAAAATGTAAATTTAAAGTTGTGAACTGTATTCAATGGTGTGAGAGGAAATATGGATACTACAGAAAAAAGAAACCGACATATGAGGCATGTTGAATGTAAGTTTTTGAGTTGACAATTAATAGTAATAATGATAGGATTGGTGAATGACCATCTGGTGTGTGTGTGTGTGAAGGATAAACTGTCTCTTTGACTGCTTTAATTTGTGTTTGTGAATTCACTTGTCTCTGTGGTGCTAGTTATATTGGCCATGAAAAGGTCACGCTTCCCAATGCATCCCCGAATATTTTCCGGAATGGTTGTTTAGATGACAATGGAAGTCAGTTAGGAGCTCAGTTCTCTAGCTCCTAGTGA